ATCCATACCAAGAGTTTTCTATCAGGATCGACAATGGGCAGTGCTTCACGTGAGACGTAGGTCTCAGTGTGGCCCGGGTGCGTTTTTCGCTTTGACCTGAGCATGAACTCTGTGCCTCACTGACATGACGATGCCCGCGAACTCATCTCTGCTGCACGTCAACGCTTTGATGTTATGACATATTCGTGCCTCCAACGTCGCTTCTTTGTCTTGTAATCGGTAGGCGCCAGTCTCGACAGAGGAGGTGAGGCGGGAAAAAGTCAGCTGTTCTCTCGGCATGTCGGACGAATAGCTTCTAGTCGTCGCCCGATGATGAGATCGAATGTTAGTGACTTCAAGCTACGACCGATATGTATGACCGGTGTGCCGTAAACGCCCAGAACCCGATGTCTTGTGTGATAACTTCAGTAAGCTCATATGCGAGGAAACCGTTCTTTTCCATATGTCCGAGCCAACCGGTGAAATTCAAGAAGCCTTCCAGAGTACAAGACCACTAAGCATTCAACGGCTGAGTGAAGATAGCAGGCCCTTGGGCCTATCCCCGGCCCCTGGGCAGTTTAAACTTTCGAGGGGACCAGTGGTGCGGGCGTCTTGCAAATCCTCTTGACCGCAAAGAGGACTCGATGAAGGCCCTACTCCACACCGGTGAACCTGCGTCCAGGGGTTTGTGGCCCGCTAAAGATTGTCACGAGCGTGGCCCTGTTGGGGACGCAGGTTGTGAGATTGACCGCTGGACGAGTCAGGCGAGGGAAGGCCCTTGTCCTGACCCTCTGAAGAACTTGACATCCCAGGCAGAGGTTTCTAGCTCGCTTCTAGCGCGTGGGAGGAGCGGGTTGAAGAACCAAAGACACGAAAGACCTGGTTACCTACCCTACGTTACTGATGTGTAAGGGTAGCAAAATCCTGTCCTTAATCATAATCAAACCCATCCTGTGATGCAGATATCCTGCCGGCATCACACTACTGCACAATAGACAGGGCGGGATAGTCCAAAATAGCCGACGCTGCTATCAAAGTATCGAACCAAACTTTTTGATGATTTTGAAACATGCTCCCACTGGCACGCAGGGAGGCATTTTCGCCCTCATACCGCGCTCTGCGATGGCCTCATCGGTGGCCTCCTCCTTTCCTTTTCGATAGCTCGGTGCTGATCCAGCGGTCAACTCCGGGGTGGGACTCGAAGCAGCCGATCATTCGTTCTGCTCACTTTGGGCGGCCGGAGGGCGTAACCATACAGATACACCATCATGCTACTATTTTCAAATGGGTTGCGTGTGTGACAGTGTGTCCATTCTCTCTGCCTATGGTGCCCTGCCTGAGCGTGGATTTCGCTTGATGAGTAGCGCCGTGGATCACGACCGGCGGTTCCGTCCCTCTGGTGCAGAGTTTTCTCTCTCCTCTTCTCTCAGCTGGCAGCCGGCGATGGCGCCCGTCATCTGGGTCAAGACTCGGAAGTGAGCAGGGAATCAGCGCCATTCGTCATTTCGTCCCTAAAGAATACCCATTCAATCCCCCCCTCGTAGAAACTCCACGTCAGGGTCAAATCTCGCCTGCCGCCCCGGCAGCTATATCCAGGGCAGCAAAAAGTCCCAGCAGCCTGGCTCGGCTGGCATATGTGGCTGACGCCAGTACCGTTCTATCCCAGTGCTCCGAGCCGCTAGGCCAATCAACGCGTGATCCGCTGGGCTGTCTCGGGGGTTCCCAATGGCATGGTTCCGGAATCTGATTCGTAAAAGAATTGCAGGCTCTATTTCCGATATGGGTTCTTTTTGGCCCTGGGGGTGGAATGGGAGCGGGCTCTCATCAAACACCATAGCCGGGCTCCATTCCTGTCCGGTCGCTGTACTCCGTAACGTGGAATGATCGGGGTGCGACGTTGGCTTCATCTTGTTCTTTTGCTGAGGGGGCAAAGAGGTCGAGCGAGAATGGGGCGGTGACTGCAATGGAGATTTGACGTGGCCGATCGCGATGCGGATGTGCGTCAACATATCAGTCACTCCTTGACCCGCTGGCCTCGAGATGTGCAGTGCTGTTCGATGGAACATATGCCACGGATGACTGAGGTATGCGGGAGATGCAGTCCAAACTCCACGCGCGCTAGAAACAAGTTTTCTTTCCCCTGGTCAGGCTCCTCGCGTCGCTACGCCAGCTAGGCCAGATCGTTAGAATCTATGTTCTTTTCATGGAGCTGGCCCGGGAGTTTCGACCGTTCCTCGTTCGGGCTTATCCCGACGTCCTCCGTTTAGAAGACCGTGTGTTCGGAAGCAAATAAGCAGCGAGTTTGCGACTGTACAGAGTACGGATGCTCGTACATCGTCCCACCGCGCTGTGTGATAGAAAAGACGGCTTTGTGACTCGACCGAATTGCCGTCAACTGAGTCATTGCACAGCAAGCCCAGCCGGGAAAAAAGAAACCGTGTATGCGGGTTGATTATCCGTACCTTCCCATCTCTCGCTTTCGCGCCGGCACGCTGGTTCGCCTGAACGGTTCGTCCCACCGCCCGTTGCCGTCCGCATCTGTCTGGTCTGCCACTGTGGGGAGAGCTATCTAGAAAGAGAAGAGTGTGTGTGACTCTATGATCATTAATGACACCGCCCGGCGGGAATATTGCCCCAGATGTGCCATTCTGCCGGCAGGATACATCATTCACACACCCTTGAACAGGCCGCTGAAACGCTGTCCTCGTACCGAACCTGCGAGAGAGGCGGACCTCTCCGATGTGTGCCTCGCCGCTGTCTCCGTTGATTGGTGACTTTGGTTATGCACGAATATACGTCGGGATCATATGGACCGACGCATCAAAGCTGATTGGTTTTGACCGGGTGCATTGCACCGAGATCGTCGTTTCGATCCTGTCGGTACCCAGGCGATGCAGACTGCAGCTTGCTGAAGAATGACAAGGGCTTAAGGGGTGGGTAAGGTAGGAGTACGAATCCTACCGTCCTCTGGCCTAGACTTTGAGGCCTTGACCGGTGATGCAGCAACGAGACCTCGTTAGACTTCTAACATGCCATGATATACCACTATCGGGCTCCGAGTATTGTCGAGGGTGTGCTTAAGGTCGCCCCAAAGACTAAGGGAAATATATTCCTGTTCTAGATCGTTGAGGGATGCAGCCGCCCCGGCACGGCACAACTTCTCGGGTATCTCTACGTCTCCTCGACCAAGTTCCTGTGATTGAAGCATTCGCGCACCACCCCGTTTGTGATCCACGGCAGTCGAACGGCACTCATTGTCTTCTCGCCAGGTTTCTCCACCGTATCCCTCGGCTGAAGGATCGACCCACGCTGCCTTACGTTCGGGTCGCAGCTCCATTCAAGGCAATTACAGCAATGATAGGCGGTATCTACACCACACTAGAGCAAGTCTACAACATGCGGGCAACACGCCTCCGCTTGCTAAGACTTTGGTGTAGCTCAAAGTCCCTGAAGATCTGTCAGCTCCACAGCCAGATAGATGGGGGCCCGAAGCTTGAAAATGGAGTAGTGATGCCCAACGTCTTTGGGCTGAGGAGACGTGAATCAGAAAGCTGGGGACGGCGAGATTGAAAGACCCATCTTTGAGGCGAATTCCCTATGTCTGATTGCAAGAGCAAGACGGGGTTTCTGGAATCATGGGCATAAGATGGAATTCTCCTATTCTGTGGAGGCTATGCTGTTTGACATGTTCCATCTTTGTCTGAAGATCGGGTCCAGGGTTGGGTAGCTCTCACAGCCTAAGCTCTTAAATGTGCATGCGATATAAGTTGGACTTTGTAATAATCTTTGTGCATATGCCGTATCTTGCATTCGACCTTATATCAGATGAAGCGAAAAGGTTGAGTTCGGCCCCTCATCGACCTGACAGGTGACTGTTGGAGAGGTTGAGCTGCGATGTCTCCAGGCCGATGCCTAGGCCGCCGTTTTCTGATTCGTCGCGACTCGTGTAAAGTCTTGTCCGATTAAGAGATGATTACTCCGTACAGACAGATCGAGACATCTGAGAAGTTAGCTGGCTTTACTCGGTCTCGTGTGTATTGTGTCATCTGGATCGTGAGTTTGGGTTTTGCAAAAAGGGGCTCCCGGTGCGCTCGCCGAACCGGCGAGGACGCCGACATGAACCAAACGAGATGACAATCACAAGACCTGTCCCAACTGAACAAGGAACCTAAAGTCCGGGATACCTAATTTGTTAATACGATGGTGTGCAATAGAATCAACCATTGCAACCCTCCCGCCGGAAGCAAATATCGGCAGTATTCTAAGCCTCATTTATCGGCCTCAACTCCGGCGGACTTTCAGCCATTTTCAAGCCCCGTTCATCCTGGCTTCGATGTTCTCATCCCAGACGATTCAGTGCATGCCGATAAAGAGTTTGGTGTCACGACACACCATATTCAGTAACCGTTATCTCTAGACTTAGGAGAAGGTCTGTTTGAGAATTGACCGTTGGAAACCAACTCCGAGGATTCGTCAGAATATATGCAGCACTCGGCCGCGAATTTCAGGTTCATGAGATTCAGTGCGAGGCCTGTCGTGTCCTCAACCAGATGGAGAGCATATCGCTCTTCGCATCTAGTCCCATGTCGAGCTTTCCAGAGCGTCTCGTCTGGCAACCGTTCGCTTGAATAAGCCCATTGTGAAGCCCCGCAAAGACAGACGTGCAGAAACTCAATACCAGAGACAGCGCTAGAGAGAAAGACGTAGGACAGTCAGACGCGGGTCTCGACGAAATGGATACATTTTTGGTTAAGACCTCAAGACTGCACAACATCGGCCGAGCCCTTCTGTCTAGCTCCCGTTGGCAGATCTTCTAAGCCGGTTGAATCTTAATCTCACAGCCGCCGGACACGAAAGGCCAAACATGAGAGGGCATAAGTCAACTGTGTTTCTGTCTTCCCCCTCATTCAGAATGAGCCATCTTGACTAGAGCTACGAAACTTCTCGACGCCGAAGTCCACTCCGAGTATGACCAGGCATTCGGTGTCAATGCTCATGTAAAGCTAGGCGATCCTTTACGGATGCTATCAAGCCATTTCATCCAGTCTAGATATTCGTTCATTGGACGAAGTCCTCTTGCACGTTCCTCGTTGGCTCGGGATTCTTACAGCGACAGTGTAACAAACGCCTTGCTCGAGAACTCGCTCTCGACGTGATGAAGACAATGCGCCCAATAACCCCGAGACTGGGAGCCACATGCCGCGGAATAATGACCGTTAATACCAGGCAAAGTTGATTCTGTTCGAAGAGTAGGTGCAAGCCGAAGCCAAAGTCCGTAGTTATGGTCAGGGCAAACAGTGCATATTATTGTGATGGACCTTTGAACGAGACACTGGTGGAGATAAATCATGCCTTGAGGGGTCTAAGCATGATACCAGCCTTTCTTTCTCCCAGATCAGCGATATGCTAGACAATTGGCATCACCGTAGTCTGTTAGCTTGTGTCACAAAGACTCACATCGGCCTAAATAGCTGGAAAGTGCTTCATAGTTCTTCCTATAGGGCTTTTTCATGCACGCAATCGGCAAAACCTATTCTTCATCTTGTTTACACGGACGCCTTAAGGTTCTACGCGGCCTATGACGCTCTCGTAACTAAACTCGGCAATGCGTTATTGTTCCGCTAAAGGTTGTTGTTTTCCTAACAAAACCCCAGTTGAATATAGATTACTGGCATGCAGAAGTCGATCGAATTATCTTGGCTCCGTGAATACGAGGCTACCAAGACTCGATGACTGCCATCATGCTGCAACCCTATCGTTCCTCGTCGTTTACCTAGCCTCACCCACTCGCTGATGAAACCCGCCCAACAAATCTAGTTCATGCGCTATCATCAGCATTTGGTTGATCTGTTTCAATTCGTAACAGAGTTTCACCGACTTTGATTCACTGCAGGAGAATAAAGGGCGTGATTGACGAGCCTAGATACCTGGCCTGGGTACATATACGTAGTGCTGCCGATCCTTGACATGTAGACCGTAATCTAAGATGCGGGTGGACTATGGCCGGTGAACGGAACATGTAAGGCATTTGTAGGGCGCAGTGAGTTGATCCCTAGTTTTGGCTTTGTCTACAGAGCTGAGAAGCAACTGCGAGAAACTCTCTCGATCATTACGTAGCTTTTTCTTCCCACGATCGGGTTCTGGTTTTTTGATCCATAGCCAACGCAGCTTTGACATGGCCCCATCTACCAGAAACGGCCATAACTTGAGCAGCATGTTCCTCACTTAGAGTTTGGACAGCCTCTTAAACATATACATGGCTCCGTTGAGAGGGTTGTGGTAGTAAGGGGATGTTTCTTTGAATCCCTCCGAAGCATACAGTCCAATTGCAGCTTGCATCTTGGTCATGGTGTCGAGAAGAGCCTCGTCGTAACCTTGCTCCTCCGCGCGCCGCAGTACCTCACAGACCAGAAGTCTGGCCACTTGCTTGCCTCTCGCCTCCGGATAAACGAACAGTCTTTTGACTTCGCAGTATCGAGCGTCGAGTCGGCGGTCCAGGAGATAACGTGACTCGAGATGCAGAGGTCGCATCGCAATGCACCCAAGGATGTTTCTGCTTGTCGAGTCTACGGCAAGAAGTAGTGCGCCGGATGGAGGTGAGTATTTTCCAGGTAGATCTTTGAGCTCTTCGGCATAATTTTGGAAAGAGATATCTTCGTCCAGCCATTCTGTGTACGCTTCAAAGCATTTCCTGGCGGCAGTCATATCAGTTGCGCCTGTCGCTTGTCGAACAATAACCGGCGTCGGTACATCTTGTATGGCAGGATTCCGCATTATGGCTGGAGGATCTGGCATCTTTTGGTAGTGAAAGGCACACAGTGTTCACTGATGACAGGTGTTGACCTTAGCATCAAGGATTCAAAGGGTTTGGCGACCCTTTTGTCCTCTCATAGCAGGCTTATCTTAACGATTGCTATTGCGCAAAGACGACCAAACGGTAGTGGGCCGGGGCATATGCATTGCCGATGTGAACCGCTAGAATAATCTAGACAGCTCTGGCATTGGCTGACGGCCCATGTTACATGAAAGCGGAATGCTTCTTGGTCTATGCGGAACGTACATGTACGCTGACGACTCTAGTCCGACATCGGTCCTCCGGGCAGGAAATCGGCTAATACTTCCCAAGCGCTGCGGCTCATCTACGCAATGCGCCCTTGTTGTCGATCCAATTCTAGGATTGAATCAACTGGAAATTTCTTGCAAACATAACGGATGTAGTGATTTTAGAGACAATTGTAACTCAAACACAACGCAATATTGCGAGGCGAGCGAAACAATCGTGGAGGCTATCAAGTGTGCTGTGTGGAACAAGACATTCCGGTACCCAGGTTATAGACATCATCGTCATTACGATAAATGATAAGCGGGTTGAGCGCATGTTACGACAAGAATCTTGGCTAGCTACTTTTAGGTATCTTCGATGGCCATGATTTTATTAGCTACTCTAAAGCTGCCTGCGAGCCACTAGTCCCCACGATATTCGCTCCCGTCTCGCCACCCATGATATGTATGTAAGCTACATTGGTTTGCAGCCATGTTTGTACGAACTTCCAGATAGTGGAAAGGGCACTTACTTATGGATTGTACCATATTGTCCATAGATTTCTGTGGAACAGGCGTCGGACTTGGAAGTTTTTCAGCCAGCTGTTTTCCATCTCTCAGAGGTCAGATGATCCGAAGACGGAATAACATCTTTCTTGAGCTTCTTTCAGCGACATCATGATGGAAAGTTTTCCACTTCCGAATGAACCTTGGAAACTCTATTAAACGAATTTACATTTTCCCAAATGCTTGAGGGCTAATCCTTCTTGTGTTTCTATATGGATAACGCGCCTATCAGGCAGCAAAGTCTGGTGAATGGGTAAGTAGACTTGACAACTACCTTATGTGATAATCTGATCAGATTTGAATCACTTGACATATCATTTAGGTCCAAATAATAAAAGATTGCAATTCTAGATGTGGTGCCTTCTTCATGATACCTTTATCACTGTAAGACCTTGCTCGAACCGTTAATGTTCTTAGAAGGGTCCTACCTACCCCTTTCGGCTTCAACACAACCGAAAGGTCGGCTCTGCTGACGTGTGTACTAACAGCACTGTCCCGCAAGACCAAGTTCAAAATTCAACTCAGTAGTTGAAGAGAGCGGTAATATGTAATTTGATTTCCGAGGTGGTCTGAGGCCGCTTCGCTCTACGGCCTAGCCAGTACCACAGCCGGTTCGACATGTGGAACAAACAATTTGGCCTCAAAATAGACCCAGGGAGGACGGCAAAGGCCACGATTCAAGTATTAGGTACATCAATATTATTAATGAGATCTTCATGAGCTCCGGCCGAAACGTTCGGACGTCGGTAGAATGAATGTGATGGAGATGTAAAGACGGAGCCCAGAGCCACCCGGTCGGCTGTGAGACAGTACCGAGATCTACGTTATGTTGTTGATAGCGCCCGCGTCTCGGGCCCGGCCGAGCTGGGAGTAAAACAATTTCCACTTAGTATTCCACCTACTCTAGGATGACTTTGGCCTTAAGCCCTCCAAGGCGGCGGAGAGATCACTCAAAACCTTCATAGACTTAATGCTACCTCACATTAGGCTTCTAAAAATACTTCAAAAACATACAAGAAGCAAACAACTCGTGAAAGAAAGAGGCGTCTTCCGTGAGCCTTCTACGTCAGTTGATGCCGTTGAGGGTGCTGGTGAACATCCGTACCGTACGGAGCGGAGGATCCATTGACCTCCGGAAGGCCGACGGACTTTTCGCTTGCGGTGCCGGCGTCCCGGATGACACACAAACTTGCTGCAACCCGCTCCGCACGGCTTACGCAGTCCGGTTAGTGTCTCTCAGGCTAGCCAGTCAAGCCAGTACCGCCCGCCGCCCATTCAGCCCTACACGAAAGCTTGTCGCGCGGGAAAGAAAGCTTGAGGCCATTTTTTTGCCACCGCGACGCGAGATGAACTCGTTAGTCTGGGGCCCGTTAGATGGGAGGCATGGTCATCGGCCGCGCGCGGCTTACTTTTTAATGCCGAGCGCGGCGCAGCGAGACGAAACGAGACGAGGGGTGGTTTAGGCTTGCTTACTACGCAAAAGACTGCATGCTCAGCGTCTCGCAGTGGCGCCGCCACTAAGTGTTTAAGTGTGTAAGACGGGTACTTGAGTAGGACTATGTATGTCGAGGTAACTTGCCGGCCCTGGAATGTTGAACGATGCGGTTGGTTACAATGTTTGTCTGGCTTTCTTTGTTTAATTGTCGAACAGTATATAACTGTCTCGGTCCCAGACATCGTCTCAACTTTTCTAAACCCTCAAGTCAGTATTTAAGCAGCGCATTACCAACTTTGTCTTCTTCATCAAACAATTTCAGAGGTCAAGCCCATCAATCACACCCATACACAATGCACGCAGCCCTCGTCAACACCTGGGGCTCACCCCCGACCTACACAACCGTCCCGGACCTCCCAGAACCATCCCCAACACAAATCCGCTTCCGCGTCCTCGCAACAGGCGTTCACCGCCTCGTTCTCTCCCGCGCCTCGGGCAAACACTACACCGCTTCCACACTTCCTCACCTCCCCGGTGCAGACGGCGTAGGCGAGGACCCGACCACCGGTCAACGCTACTTCTTCGCCGCCCTCGCGACAGGCACCTTTGCGGAATTCGTCAACGTTGACCGAGCCGCTGTATCACCGCTCCCAGAGGGCGCGGACGCTGCTGTCGTCGCTGCTTACATGAATCCCGTCATGAGTAGCTGGATGGCGCTGTCTGCGCGCGCGGCACCGCAGCAGAAAGGCTTCTCTGTCGCGATCTTGGGTGTGACAAGTGCTAGCGGGCGCGTGGCTGTTGATGTTGCTCGTGCCAAGGGTGCCGGTCGGATTGTCGGTATCGCGAGGAATGCTACTGCCATGGAGGAGATCCCGATCGACGAGCGCATCATTCTCAATGGTGAGGAGACGGACTGGTCAAAGCTGGGCGAAGTGGATGTTGTACTGGATTACGTCTATGGAAGCCCTGTGGTGGAACTGCTCAAGGCCTTGCCCAAGTCGGAGAGGGAGGTGCAGTATGTACACATTGGCTCCGTGTCTGGTGATGGGGATATTACTCTCCCTGGAGCCATCTTGCGAGGGAAGAGGGTCGCGCTCCGTGGTGCTGGACCGG